ATCTTAGTATAATTTATTTTTTAAAAATAACATGTTAAGATAATTGGCTCACTCCCAATATTTCACAGTAAATGGATCTAATCTGTCTTACATGATTATGTACTTCCTAAAACTTGTATATGCCAAAAATATGCCTAGGCAATTCTGGGACCACCTTTGTTATCATCACTAACTAAAAAAGTCCTCATACTGAAACCAGAGTTCTCCTGTCTTCCTGAGACCTGCCACTGCTCAGGTTGGTCTGTTGACTATGCTGTATCTGACCAGAAGTCTTAGAAGAGAAAAGAAGCTCTCTGTGTAACTCTCTTAGTGCTAAGGAAGATACTTGCCATTCCGGAAAAAACAACCACCACCAAAATCTAAGGTTAGTAATAATTCTCCTGCCACAAATGAACAGAACTGCTAGATAGATTTATAACAAAACTTATTTTAAATTCATAGTTGAGCTCACAAGAAAGAAAGGGAAATCCCTATATAACAGAAACGAAGATAGAAGTGAAAACCAGATCAGTCAGTATGTAACCTGACAGACAAACTAAACTTGGGGTTATTATTATTATGTTATTGTTATTTTTGAGACAAAGTCTCATTCTGTTGCCCAGGTTGGAGTGTAGTGGTGCAATCTTGGCTCACTGCAATCTCTGCTTCCCAGTTCAAATGATTCTCCTGCCTCAGCCTCCTGAGTAGCTGAGATTACAGGTGTGCACCACCACACCCAGCTAATTTTTTTATTCTTTTAGCAGAGATGGGGTTTCACCATGTTGGCCAGGCTGGTCTCAAACTCCTGATTTCAAGTGATCCACCTACCTCGGTCTCCCAAAGTGCTGGGCTTACAGGTGTGAGCCACTGTACCCAGCCATGAACTTGGGGTTATTATTTTTATAACCTAGGGATTGGTTCTTATCATCCAGGACAGAAGATAGTCTAGGAACCTACCAACTGAGAAATCAACAAAAACCCCTACATGCAGGCCAATGTTTTCTCTGGAGTTCCTAGTTAATATAAAACCAAAATTTCTGTGTAGATGGACGTCTACAAGGAAAGGTCACAAGGGAGTCTCACAGAAAAAACAATGCTAGTAAAGATAAGTGCACAATTAAATGTTAATAAAACACAGAAACTTCACTAGGGGATAGAATCAGAATACAAAACAGCAGAAGCAGCCTCCTCAAAATGTGAAATTAAAAAATAATAATCTGAAAGAGAATATAAAATGTGTATAGTTAAAATGAGTAAAGACACATTCAAGAAGGAATCAAAATACTAAGGCGCAGCGGCTTGCATCTGTAATCCTAGCATTTTGGGAGGCCTAGGTGGGAGGATCGCTTGAGGCCAGGAGTTCAAGACCAGCCTGGGCAACATGACAAAACCCCATATGTACTAAAAATACAAAAACTAGCTGAGTGGTGGCATACATCTGTAATTCCAGCTATTCGGGGAGCCGAGGAATGAGAACTGCTTGAACTCAGGAGGTGGAGGCTGTAGTGAGCCAAGATCACGCCACTGCACTCCAGCCTGGGCAACAGAGCCAGACTGTTTAAAAAAAAAAAAAAATTATAAAAAAAACCATGTGAGTTTCTGAAAAAGAACAAAATAGAACTTATAGAAAAAAAATGAAGGGGAAAAAAACAATGACAACAACTCAATAGGTAGTATTAAGTAGCAGCTAAATAATTTATGAACTACAAGATATTTACCCAGAGCCCACTATATGCAAGAGGGGTTAAGCAATGTAGAGGAAAGAGGAGGTTATGTCTAATAAAAAGTGAAGAAGGGGAAAATAGTGAGAAATGGAGAAAGAATAATATTTGAAGAGATAATGTATGAAAAATCCCCAAAATTGATGAAAGATATCAACCCTCAGATCAAAAAGCACAATTCATGAGCAGAAAAACTAAAGCTGAGTCTAGATACACTATTATAAAAATACAGAACACTGAAGACAAAGGGGAAAATCCTAAAAGAACCAGAGGAAAAAGGCAGATTACTTTTAAAGGAATAATTAAAATGATTTCTCAACTGTAACCACAGAGGCCAACAAAAAATTGAATATTTTTAAAGTGCCAAGAGAACAAAACTGTCAATCTAGAACTCTATGCTCAGCTAAACTATCAAATTAAGGGGAAAATCTTCTTAAAGACTGACAGTTTACCACTAATAGTCATTCACTGAAAAAAGCTATTGAAGAATATACTCTAAAAAAAAGAAAACTGAACCTAAAGAAGGGAGGAGTGGGATTTAACGAGCAAGAATGAACAAAAAAATTGGTAAACATGTGGGCTTATGAAGCCACCATAATAATTATTACTCATTTGTGATGATTTAAAAACAAGGTAAAACTAAAATATTAGACAAAAGAAATAATGCAGATGGGAGAAAATAATTAGTATTCAGGAAAAAGGTAAAACAATTCACATTAAAGTTATGGTTTTTAAACTCTGATGTGCATCAGAATCACCCAAAATGCTTGTCAAAAATAGACTGCTGGGCCCTACCCCTCAAATTTTTGATCCAGGTCTCGGGTAGAGGCTGAGAGGCATTCCTAACATGTTCCAAGGTGATAATGATAATGGTGCTCCAGGACCACTTTGAAAACTAATGCATATGTTTTTAAGTCAAATAAGTACGTTAAAAATTAAAAGGTAAACCCTCAAATAACTAAAGTAGAATACAACTGATCCTTGAACACAGGTTTGAACTGTGTGGGTCTACGTTTATGCAGATTTTCTTCCACCTCTGCCATCCGAGACAGCAAGACTGACCCCTCCTCTTCTTCCTCCTCCTCTTCAATATGAAGAGGACAAGGATGAAGACCTTTATGATGATTCATTTCCACTTAACAGAAAACATATTTTTCCCGTATAATTTCTTTTCTTTTCTCTGGTTTACTGTAAAAGAACACAGCATATAATACATATAACATACAAAATATGTGTTAATCAACTGTTTCTGTTATCAGTAAGGCTTCCAGTCAACAGTAGGCTATAAGTTCTGGGAGAATCAAAAGTTACATGTGGATTTCTGACTGCGTGGGGGCCTAGTGTCCCTAATCCGCATGTTATATGGTCAACTGTATAACCCAAAGAAGGGAAAAAGGAGGAGTCAAGAAAAATAAATCCATCTCAAAAAGGCAGGAAAGGAAAAAAAGATGGCAGAAATAAATCCAACTCAATTGAGTAATCACAATGAATATGAAAGGACTAAATTCACTGGTTAAAAGACAGACATACGCTGGATAAAGAAAATTCTGCTATACGTAATTAAGATGGTGTGCGAAATGGCACAGAGATAGATAAAATGACCAATTAAGTAGAATAGAGAACCCAGGCCAACCCAGGCACATAGGGAATTCTGATATATGACAGAAATGACACTGAAGGTCACTGAGAGGATAGTCTATCAATAAATAAAGCCAAGACAACCGGTTATTCATAAAGGAAAAAGTTCAACTTAGAATACTTAAATGTACTTGTATGTGAAAAGCAAAATTTAAAACTTTTAGACAAAAATATAGGAGTAGGGAAGGATTTCTTAACAAGACACACAAGGAGCTAACCAGAAAAGGTTGCTAAATTCAACTAACTCAAAATCAAATCCAGTGTCATCAAAAGATGCTAAGTAAAAAAGATAAGCATAATGTTTGAAAAGACTTTTGTAATACATATAACTGAAAAGGAATTGAAATGCAGAAGAGATAAAGAACACATTTAAATCAATAAGACCAATAGGGCCAGGAACAATGCCTCACACCTGTGATCCCAGCACTTTGGGAGGCTGAAGCGGGAGGACTGCTTGAGCCCAGGAGTTCGAGGTTACACTGAACTATGATTGCACCACTGCACTCTAGCCTAGGTGACAAAAAGAGACTGTCCCAAAACACACAGAAAGACAAGACTAATAATGAATAAACAATGATTCATCATTTTAAACCCATGAGGTTGGAAAACATTAAGAAATTTATAAAACCAATGTCACAGGATCCATCAAAGAAACCCTTATAATACCTGCTAGTGGTATAAATCAGTAAAGTCATTTCTGGAAAACAACATTATTTTGTAAAATTGAGCATACTCCGCAATGCACTCCCACAAATATAACCTTACACCTTTCCTCCAGAAGACATGACAAGACCTGAGAAAAAACCCCAAATGTCCATCTATAGGAAAATGGGTCCACTGTGGTCTATTCCCATAGTAGATTCTGTACGTCAGTGAAAATGAATGAACTATGGCCACAAACAACACGGATAAACAAAAGCAAATCCAAATAAAAGAGCAAATCCTAGAATATCGTATCATTTTTAAAAAGTTTAAAATACGACATATATATGACAAAACTGTTTTTTAAAAAAGCAGAGAAAGTAAAAATCTTTGTCACTGGTTACAGGGAATGGGGATGACAGAAGGTTGAGATAAGAAGGGAGCATCTAAGTGGATGCCAATTAGTGACAATGGTAGATTGGTTAAAGGGAGGTAGTATCATGAATACTCCTAGATATTAATATGCTTTATATCTTAACTTCATAACTTAAGCTAGTGTGTGTTTACATATGTACATATATTTTTCCATTGCATGGTATACATAAAATATCATATTTAAAAAGAAAAAATGAGAGGCCGGGCATGGTGGCTCACGCCTATAATCCCAGCACTTTGGGAGGCTGAGGTGGGCGGATCACCTCAGGTCAGGAGTTCGAGGCCAGCCTGACATGGAGAAACCCCGTCTCTACTAAAAATACAAGATCAGCCCAGCATGGTGGCATGCACCTATAATCCCAGCTACTTGGGAGGCTGAGGCAAGAGAATCTCTTGAACCCGGGAGGCAGAGGTTACAGTGAGCTGAGATCGTGCCATTGCACTCCAGCCTGGGAAACAAGAGTGAAACTCCGTCTCAAAAAAAAAAGAAAAAAAAAGAAAAAGAAAAAGAAAAAAATAAGAGAAAAGATTACTAAAATATGTTAATATTCATTGCAATAAGAAAATCCCCAGTCTAATACTTACTGGTCAAGAGTCTTATAATAAATATCCAGATCCTTGTTCACAAGTTCTGTTGTCCTCATAACAATCATCATTTCTCTATATTTTTCCTCAGCATCCCGAAATTGTGGTTCTCGAAGTTCTTTCTTAAAATGAATAATTTCTTCCTCATAACCTTTCTGTCGCCCTAATGCCAAACTGTGATTTCTTTTTATATTGTCTATGTTCTCTTCCAACTTCTGATGTTCACTGTAAAAAATAAAAATGACAAATGAGGACCATTTTTTAGCTTTTAACAACCTGAAGTGGAAAAGTCATAGATTTCTTTAGACAGGTTAAGTATCATTCTCCTTAGGAATCATGTAACAGAGTCTCTCTTTGCTTATTATTTAGGGCTTCGGTACTAAAAAAAAAAAAAAAAAAAAAAAAAAACCCTCTCTTCCTTCCATATCTCTGCCCCACATAGGTTGCTAAACAGCTAATTTTTGTGTGTTGAACAGAGAACCCTCACAGCATGTTATCACTGATAAAGTTCCCGGCCTTTAGACGCTAAGCATTCTGGTGATTAATATTACAAATTCACAAACTTCTGATTGTGAGCTGAGAATGCACAATTATCAACACTAAGAAGTTATAGATAACAGGCTTCATCATTTTGCTCATGTCAAAGGCATAACACGAATTAAATCATATATTAATTATCTGCAGTAATACTTATTAAAAATCTAGATTCCTCCATGAAAACAAAATTTCTCTTGCCCAAGTATAAAAACCATAGTAATGACCAAAAGAAGTAAAATATTCAAACTTTTCTGATAATTTGGCAGATTGTACAAATTTCAACGTTTGCTTTAAAAATCTTCATTTGTTTAACAATCACTTATTAAGCATCCTCATGTGTCAGGCACTGCTCTCAAGTTTATGGGCATCCTTACAGAGTTGACTGGATTACATGTCTTGTTGGCATTTCTGTTATGTCCTGGTTGAAGAAAGGTTTGAAAAATAGTTGTACTTAGTAATGTGAATGAATGTAAAAAGTACTGTTATATACCAATCACAGAAGAAATTTTTTAAATATCTGGTTTTGGTCTTTAGTAGCCACGAATATATTATTTCATTTCAAAATTTCTTCTAGAAGCATTACTTTTCTAACTTGCCATGGAGAGCATAGTGTAAAAGAACTGAGGCTTGGAAACTAGCATATTAAGGTCATATTCTTGGCTTTCATCATAATTTCCTCTGTGATTTTTCTGGGTCTAAGTGTGTATAATGCATAAAAAAAAGAAGATTCTGAAGATGATGAGCTCTTCTAATTATAAAATCTGATTTCCCTGATATAGGAAAGAGATTTTAAATAGCTAAACTAAGAGTACTTAAACATAACACAGGATTAACCATTTGTTAGGCTTTATAAATAAAGTTAAAATTCACTTTACTATTACCTTTAGAAAAACCTGAGCATTTTTTTCATTCATATTTCCATATAAATTCAAGAAGACAAGAAAACTCTACAAGGAAAGGTTTAATAAATGAGAAGCCTGGATTTAACCAGGTGAGATGGTTCGCAATCTACGTATTTGCCTAGTACAACCTTTTATACCAGTCTAGTGCCTTAGCATCAACAAGGTTCTTACAGAATTCCTAAGGCAACTCTAAGGCAGTCAAGGCAGGAATAAAATCTTTTCTGGTCTACCAGGAAGGCAGCAACTACAATAAGTAACCATAAGACCAGATAAAGGAAGAATGAGACTCATCTTTCAAAAGAAATGCTCTGGTGGACACATAATTACAAATGAGAAAATCTAGACTGAATCTCTGTGGATAAATCACTGGCAACAACTCCACTGACAATATTATAGACTGTACAATCTCTGACCCAGGCAAGGTCCACAGCTCCATATTCTTTATGCTTAGTACCACTATTTTGTGCAGCAGGCTAGCAGATGTATGGGGACTAAGCATGTTCAATACTGAATAACTAAGGCTCATCACTACAATGTGATTACCAATTCTATATCACTTCTGCAGTAATAAAGTTCTTAAGGCCATGAAATATAATTGTATCAAAACACTGTTCACCTTCTAGTAACTCTCAAAGGATACTAGGCTGAGGCTAAAATTCATTTAAAACAGGTATTTAACATTCTTCACATTCCAATAATAAAGACTTTTATTTAAACCGAAGATTATTTTAAAAGCATACTTTTTCATTTGCAAAACCTGCATTTGACCCATTTCCTTCAAATGTTGTTTTCTTTCTTCTTCAACTTCTTTTAGTTCCTCATTTCTTTTTCTTAAAGTAAGGTTATCCTGTAGCCACCTTTCTTGTATCTAAAGGTAAACATTAAATTAGTTAACAAAAATAACCAAGTTACTAACGTGAAATCTGTAACAGGCAACTGCTGATAGGAAGTGCCATGTCTGTCTTAGAATCATGTGAAGTTCAACAGAGGGAGAACAAGCCAGTGTGAAGGAATCTCCAGGTCTGGGGCAATCTGGATGGCCCATCCCCACCCATAGTCACAAGTGTAATACCTCCTGTAGTGCAGCTTTTACTGCTCTTTCATGACCATAATCTAAAAACCAGGTCTACTGTTTGATGGGGAGTCTCACAATGATGTGAGCATATATCTATGTACTTATTTACTTATACAGTATTAAAATTTTAGAAAACAATGCTATGAAATGGTGTTCACTTAAAAACATACAAAACAGAAATTTTAAATGGTAAAATTAAAAATATAACTAGATATTTTAATACCTATATCCCCAGTGGATCATTCTGCATAGGAACCCCATGATAAAGCCTACTGACCTAAAAGATCATAAGAGATCAATACTACTATTGAAGTCTTCCCCAACTTTTTCTTCCTAGTTCTGTCTCCCAACATGTACCAAGACTATCAGAACCTGTGAGGTATATGTTACCTACAGCTTCTACCTTTAGGCTGACAAATAATCATCACTCAAGGCAAGAAGAAGTGCCACAATAGTACTATATATCTATGAACTTGATACTTTCTTAGCCACTGAAATGAAATTTCAAAAAATTGGCTGTTCTTGTTGAGTAGTTTTGTCCTTCAGAAAAGACTCAATCACACTTAGCAGCAGCAGCAACAACAAAATTATTTCAGTGGTTTTCCTGGTGATCAAAACGAACTATGGTGTCAAGAGACAATCATTAGAAAACAGTTTGTAAGTTGATTCTTTGGAATTTAGGAAAAAAAAAAAATTCCTGCAGAAAGAAACTGGTCCACAAATCCTGTGTGAGGAAAACTTATCCTGAGTTTGGAGTAAGGATTTCTCAAAGAGGGAGGTGGGACCCTCCTGCAATAGCCCTTGCAGCTAAGCTAAACTCAGCGATGCGGGAAGTGAGAGAGATAGACAGACCTGTGGCAATATCTTGCACCAACAGTAAAGGCCAGGGACTGGTAGATGGGAGAGGGAAATCAAGGATTTCTCTCACACGCTTAATGTTCATATCCAATTCTGCCCATCTGTGTGTGATTATTTTTAGAGTTTTTTTTTTTTTTTTTCTTTTTTAACAGAAAGTAAGGCTACCTTCATTTTTCCTGGAAATAATATAAACATACAGTTTATCCACAGGGTCCACATCTATGGATTCAACTAACCATGGATCAAAAATACTGGGGAAAAAAATACAATAAAAAGTAACAGTACAATAAAAAAACACAAATTTAAAATAATACAATATAAAAACTACATATCATTTACATATTAATATCAAAAGCAATATAGAAATTAAAGTATATCACAGGATATGGATAGGCTATACGCAAACACTAGATATGCCATTTTATATAAAGGACTTGAGCATCCTAGATTTCGGTATCTGTTGTATTGGGGGGTCCTGGAACCAATCCCCCCCAGAGATACTGAAACAACTGAATACATATCTACTAAAGGCATTATTATAGGCAGTTAAAGGTGACTAAAATGGCATGGTTATAAATGTCCTTTGTTGCTAAGGCAACCTAATGTGCCACTGTAGCTGCTGTGACTTACCAAGGTTCTACTATGGGGGACTATACTTGTTGTTCCTTGTTAGGAACAAGGGAATGTGCTACTACTTACTTTCATCTAATACCATAGAACATTTGAATTTGCTTTCACGATTGCATGAAAGGACTCTTTAAAGTGCTATCACATTTCTAGATGAGATTGATTTTTGGCACAAAATATTGTTGCTGGTCTGTCTACCTGCATTGTTACCAGAAAGCTAGGCATTTCTTTCTTTTAAGTCAGCTTCCATTATTCTTCTAGTTTTCAAACAGTATATACCACAACAAGAGTACAATGCTTCGAAGTCAGATACATCTAGGCTCAAATCAGTGTTATTACTTTTAAACTGGATAACTTTAGGCAAATTAGTTTAAATTCTCTGAACCTCAGTTTGCTTGTAACATGGTCAATAATAATACTACCTATCATAAAGAACTATTGTGTGGCCGGGTGTGGTGGCTCACACCTGTAATCCCAGCACTTTGGGAGGTCAAGGCGGGTGGATTACTTGAGGTCAGGAGTTTGAGATCAGCCTGGTCAACATAGTGAAACCCCACCTCTACTAAAATTACAAAAATTAGCCAGGCCTGGTGGCACTCGCCTGTAGCCCCAGGTACTTGGCAGGTTGAGGCAGGAGAATTACTTGAACCCGGGAGGTGAAGGTTGCAGTGAGCCGAGATTGTGCCACTGCACTCCAGTCTGGGTGAGAGAGCAAGACTCCATCTCAAAAATAAATAAATAAATAAATAAATAAAGAAGTATTGTGAAGATTAAAGGTATGAGTGTATGTAATCAATATAGTGCCTGACTCAGTAATCGCTAATAAAATGCCTTTTGGGTCAAATTTGTCCTTTGTACTTTAAGCAGTGAGAATTCCAATTATAGTCTACAAAATATAAAATATTAGAGAAAGGAAGGGGAAAAAAATCAGATGCAGTTATAGTGTACCACAACTATTTTTTCCATTCTACTAGAAATCTGATAGTGTAGGCACCAGTTCTACCTGTTACTACTTTTTGGGACCTTGAGCAAGTCAGGTCACCTCCAGTTCTCTTCATATACTCCTTCATCTGAAAACTGAGAAAGGCGGTTTATTAAGTTTCCAAATTATTTTATTCTGTGGACTAAATTTAGCAGGGCTTAGATCAGTAGGTAAACAAGTGACTGTTAGGCTCCTCAGCTCTTAAATATTAACCCCAACTATCCAACTCAGACGACAGTTAATGCATGCAGCTGGTCACCTATGGAAACATAAAAATTAGCTGCATTCTAGACACCTGTGAGAGAGTGGCATGCTGAACAGATTACAGTCCAATGTCCACCAAAAGTCTGGCTGGGAATAACGCCACTTCTAGAAGACTGCCTGAAAGCTATGCAGTCCATCCAGTGCTGGCTCAGTTACTGACAGCTAAGGGTATACATCAGAAGCTCTAAGGAATTTCAACAAAACACACATATCTCTGCCGAAACCCCCAAGATTCTGATTTACTGTTGTGGATTGGAGACATAGACTTTTTTTTTAGACAGGGTCTTGCTCTGTTGCCCAGGCTGGAGTACAGTGGCACAATAAGAGTTCACTGCAGCCTTGAACTCCCCAGCTCAAGCAATCCCCCGACTTCAGCCTCCGGAGTAGTTGGGACTACAGGTGCGCACCATCACACCTGGCTAATTTTTTGTAGAGATGGGGTTTCGCCATATTGCCAGGATAGTCTGGAACTCCCAGGCTCAAGCAATCTGCCTGCCTCGGCCTCCCAAAGTGCTGGGATTACAGGCATGAGCCACTGCACCTGGCCAACACATGTATTTTTAATAACCTAAGTGATTTAAAAAAAACTGAGATGTAATTAATATTCCACAAAATTCACTATTTAAATGTGTACAATTTAGCAGTTTTAGTTTATTTAGGTGGTTATACAACCATCACCACTATCCAATTCCAGAGCATTTGATCACCCTAAAAGGAAATCTCATATTCAATAGCAGTCACTCTATTCCTTCCTCACCTCTAGCCCCTGAAAACACTAATCTGCTGTCTGTCACTGGATTTACCTAATCTGTACATTTATTATAAGTGGAATCATACATTATGCAGCCTTTTGTGACTAGCTTCTTTTGCTTAGCATGTCTTAAGGGTTCATGCATGTTGTAGCATGTATCCTTTTTGTGGCTGAATAATATTCCATTGTATGGATATACCATATTTTGTTTATCTGCTCATTAGTTGATGGTCATTTGGGTGTGTCCATATTTTGACTATTACAAATAATGCTGCTACGAGCATTCTTGTACAAGTTGTTGTGGGAACATATGTCTTCAATTTTCTTAGTTCTATACCTAGAAGTGGAAAAACTCAGACGATTTACAGGTGCCCCTAGCTAAGAACCTTTGCTTTCTAAACACTAACATTTATTTCAGGCTTCAATCATACCACCTTCTACAGAACCTCATATCAAGGAATAATGATGCTGAAATACACTGTATTTTTTTCTTTTTTATAAGCCCTATGAAGTCTGTTGAAGACTATACATGTCTTCCTTTCTATGAATAGTCGGTAGTCAGTACAGGAAACTGGTCTCCTTTTAGCACTGACACAATGTGAATCTTGACTAATTGTGACTTCCTCTCTTCTTTTTTTTTTTTTTTTTTAAATACGGAGTCTGGTTCTGTCACCCAGGCTGGAGTGCAGTGGCACAATCTTGGCTCACTGCAAGCTCTGCCTCCCAGGTTCACGCTTCTCCTGACTCAGGCTCCTGAGTAGCTGCGACTACAGGCGCCCACCACCATGCCTGGCTAATTTTTTGTATTTTTTAGTAGAGACGGGGTTTCACTGTGTTAGCCAGGATGGTCTCGATCTCCTGACCTCGTGATCCGCCTGCCTCGGCCTCCCAAAGTGCTGGGATTACAGGCGTGAGCCACCGTGCGCCTGGCCTTTTTTTTTTTTTTTTTTCTTTTGAGACAGAGTTTCACTCTTGTCACCCAGGCTGAAGTGCAATGGCGTGATCTTGGCTCACTTGCAACCTCTGCTTCTGAGGTTCAAGTGATTCTCCTGCCTCAGCCTCCTGAGTAGCTGGGATTACAGGTGCGTGTTGCCACACCTCGTTAATTTTTGTATTTTCAGTAGCGATGGGGCTTTACCATGTTGGCCAGGCTGGTCTTGAATTCCTGACCTCAGGTGATCCACCCACCCTGGCCTCCCCCGGCCTCCTCTCTTCATTTGACTACTAGAATCTTTAGCAAGCACATCAGACTTCATGCAAACGTTTTATACACTTCTCCCCTGGTTTCATTACTTTCTTACCCTAATTTCTACACTGCCTTGTTTTCCCATTAATCTGAAATACACTTATCTTTGCTCTATTGTATATAACTAAGTAAACAATTTCTGGAACAAGGAAGGTTACAAAATAAACTAATACCATCAGATCCACTAAATTTAGACTATCACCTTAAAAGGTTCATAGATTATTAATCTTAACAATTTCGTATATGTATACAGAGAGCTGCTGCGAATTTATAGACTGTGATTTTTATATAGGCAACTACATAAAAGCTAGAGATATTTTGTTATATATGCATCATAAATGTACACATTATTCAATATGTATTAGGCCAGGCAGAGATTTGATTTCCCTTTGACTGATATTTCATATATTTGAAATTCTTGGTGCTACAGAAAGAGACCCAGCAGAAAACTAATGTAACTAATCTTCCAAATGATTTTTAGCAATGACTTATAACCGAGTGGTTAAGGCATTCAAATAGTAAATTTTGTTTAAAACAGTAAGAACAGAGAAATGGTATAGTTTTTAAAGGCATTAACTACCATGCTTGCATAAAGCATGTGATGATGGCTTTTTGAAATGATTTTGATTATACTATAGAAATTAATTTCGTTAATAGAGAAAATAAATGATAAAGGGATCAACTGGAAAATGACCTAATATATATTTTCCTTACAGATAACTTTCAAGATTATTAAACCTTAATCCCACTTTTGTGAATTTATGCTACATAAAGATATGTTACAATAAGAAAAGATACAGATATATGTTAAAGATATTCACTGTCACACAGTTTATGATAAGGAAATGAAATCAATCTGAGTAAGTTCTGGTATATGCACAAAATGGACTATAATCATTAAATCATTAAACATAAAACACATTTGATTGTGTTTTTATTTCATGTGCTTAAAGAATTTTCTTTTTTGTAGCAAAACGAAACTGATCATTAAAATCATTAAATGATCATTCAAAAGAATGTGATATATCTGTGAGTTGATATGTAAAATCAAATTAAGTGAAAAAAGGTACAGAATAATATGACATGACCCCATCCATAAAGGTAAATTTAAATATATATATATACACACACACACACACACCCCTAAATGTATCTACCTATCTATCTGCTGGTATATGAATAAAACTTCTTTAAAAACAAATAAGTGTAACAGTTAATGACATGTAGAAGTGAGATTGAGAATCAGAAGAAGGGGAGGAACACTTTTAGTTTTAAAAGCCTTTATATTCAAACTTTAACCACGAGTCTTTTACTGAAAATAAAAATAACAAATAAATGAAATAAGAATGTTATTGGAATTATTTTTCTTTACTTTTTGCATTTCTTTTTTGAGACAGAGTCTCACTCTGTCGCCCAGGCTAGAGTGCAGCGGCGTGATCACAGCTCACTGCAACCGCCGCCTCCCAGGTTCAGGTGATTCTCATACCTCAGCTTCCCGAGTAGCTGGGACTACAGGTGTGCGCCACCACGGCCGGCTAATTTTTGTATTTTTAGTAGAGACAGAGTTTCACTGTGTTGGCCAGGCTGGTCTTGAACTCCCAACCTCAAGTGATCCACCCGCCTTGGCCTCCCAAAGTGCTGGGATTACAGGTGTGAGCCACCAAGCTTAAGCTTGGCCTCTTTACTTTTTGCATTTCTATTCAATGGATCTTCTATTGAAAATAAAACTATAGCAAAGAATGTCATAGGTGTAAGTGACACCATAAGCAAAACAGACCTACCTTCTGTGTATCAATATCTTGTCTCATGATTCTCATATCTTCATTTATCTTTTCTTTGTGTTTCTCGCATTCACTTAGTTGAGCTATTACTTTATTAAGTTCAGTTTCTTTTTGCTACAAAAAAGAAAATTCTTTAAGCACATGAAATAAAAACACAATCAAATAAATAATTTTAAGTTTTAAATTACCTTCTTATAGTCGTCTTTCCCATCTTGAATATAATTCTCAATGTCTTTCATATAACCATGAATATTTTTAACCTTCTCTTTAATATCATTCAGCTGTAGAAAAATATTCATTAAATTTACACTGGTTGTACTTAAGGGCACATAACAGGAGAGCACAGTAAAACACTGGCTGAGAAGTTATGAACCTGGGGTTCCAGTTTCCACCACTGCTGAATTTTATGATCTCAGACAAGTCCCTTTCTCACCTATAGGAATGGATTAATTAATCTTAATCCTTAACTTCTATTTTAGATCAAGCAGCAAAATAATTTACCTCTAATCCTTGTTCTAACAAGAATTTCTAATGTCAAAATTATACCATGAATCTGAAAATACTATTTATCTTATGCTATTTAATTTCATGTGGAATAACAGTGTCCAACATGGTGCTATGAACGTAAGTTTAATACAGGTATTTGATAAGTAAATATATAAATGAAATCTTACTTTATCCTGTGCTATTTTGTTGCTTGTATTTTTTTTGTTGATTATTTCTTCTTTTTCTTGCTGGAACTTTTCCAACGTTGTTTCCAAAGGGCTTACCTGCTCTTTAGCATCCTAAAAATAGAAAAAAGATAAAGTATTATATAATATTCCATTATCTTACTTTAGGTGTCAGACTTCACAGCCTTAATAAAAGCACTTTCTATGTGCCAGGCTCTAAATGTCAATGCATTTGCTCCTATGAGGACAGTACTTGACCCTATGAGGACAGTACCATCATTTTCAGTCCTGTATTTCACATGAGCAAACAGACACAGAGAATGACTTGTCCAGGGTCACAACAGCCAATAAATGAATCAGCCAAGATTTTAACCCAGTCCAGCTCCAGAGATCACTCTCTTAACCACTATGCATACTATACTGCATCAACCACTAATTTGATTCTTAATCTAGGCCATGTGCTCCCAATTATATTAGCGTGTGGCTTCAAGCATGAGTTTTCATGATTTTATAGGTACCCCTGTCACTGCTGCATGATCAAAGAATAGGAAAGCTCATTCAGTCCAGACTTTTCTTTTACAGATGAAAATACCATGGTAAAAACACTTCTGTTCTTAAGCTTAGCCTGCTAAGGCTATGCAGATATTTTATGGTAATAAAAGCATACTGTTAAAGTAATGTTGGTGTGTCCACATCTATTCTGGAAGGAACGGGGCTTTCAAATAATAAACTATTTTACTAAATAGAAGTCCCCATTATTTAGCCTTGTAACACTAAATCTACAACATAGTTATATGATAACCACAGTTCAAAACAATGGTCCTCAAGCTCTTTAAGATTCTGAAGTATTGAGTGAATCTATAGAGGTAGATACAATTATTTAGTAATTACTTCAATATATGTCTATTTTATCATACTGGGAAGTGGTATGGTGTGTTAGGAAGTCAAATGCCTTCAGTGTCAGAAGATCTATCAGAAAATCAACTCTGCTTCCTATCAGCTGCATAAACTTAGGCACTCGTGAGACATTTGTAAATCTCAATTCCTTTTTCTATAAAGAGATTTCATCATCTAAATAGGGTTGCTGAGGCACTGAATGGTTCAATGTCAAAGTGCTTTATAAACAGTAAAAAATTATACAAATGCAAGTAGTATTATTTTAATATCATATTCTGAACCTGACATTTTGTAATCCAAAATTATTTAAGAAATAAAAATTTACAGTAATTATTCAGTAATATACTTAGTGCTTATTGAATGAGTACCCATAATTATATAAACCTAGGTAAGACTGTTTCTAAAACTGTTTATAACTGGTTGAGTCTTAGATGTGATTAATCTATATAAGGGATGTCAAAAGGATTCCAGTGGCAACTGAGTGCCTGCTCACTGTATTGGTAAGGATTCTGAAACCACATCTGGAATCAAATGGAAAGAGTGCTATGACTGAGAGTGTCTGCTATAGATAAAGGATCTGCAGATAAGACAAACCTCCTGTACAAGCAGGAATCCTTATACAGAGTTAACCAACCACCACCTGACCACCTCCAATAACATTTGCTGCTTAACCAGGCAGCCAGTTCTTCCTTATTATGGCAAACTCCTTCTTCCAGAAATCTTTACTTACTAGTACAAGTTCTATCACTTAGGAACCACACAAAGAATGATTATACCATTTTCATTTGATCCTCATAACAGCTGGTTTTCAAAGGGAATGCTTCCAGTTTTTGCCCATTCAGTATGATATTGGCTGTGGGTTTGTCATAAATAGCTTATTATTTTGAAATATGTTCCATCGATACATAGTTTATCGAGAGCTTTTAGCATGAAGGGGTGTTGAATTTTATCGAAGGTGTTTTCTCCATCTATTGAGATAATCATGTGGTTTTTGTCTTTGGTTCTGTTCATGTGATGGATTACATTTACTGATTTGCGTATGTTGAACCAGCCTTGCATCCCAGGAATGAAGCCGACTTGATCCTGGTGGATAAGCTTTTTGACGTGCTGCTGGATTCAGTTTGCCAGTATTTTATTGAGGATTTTTGCATCGATGCACATCAGGGATACTGGCCTGAAATTTTCTTCTTTTGTTGTGTGTCTGCCTGGGTTTGGTATCAGGATGATGCTGGCCTTATAAAATGAGTTAGGGAGGTTTTCCTCTTTTTCTATTGTTTGGAATAGTTTCAGAAAGAATAGTACCGGCTCCTCTTTGTACCTCTGGTAGAATTCGGCTGTGAATCTCTCTGGTCCTGGACTTTTTTGGTTGGCAGGCTATTACTGCCTCAATTTCAGAACTTGTTATTGGTCCATTCAGGGATTTGACTTCTTCCTGGGTTAGACTCGGGAGGGTGGATATATCCAGGAATTTATCCATTTCTTCTAGATTTTCTAGTTTATTTGCGTGGAGGTGTTTATAGTATTCTCTGACGGTAGTCTGTATTTTCTGTGGGATTGGTGGTGATATCCCCTTTATCATTTCTTACTGCATCTATTTGATTCTTCTCTCTTTTCTTCTTTATTAGTCTGGCTAGTGGTCTATTTTGTTGATCTTTTTAAAAACCCAGTTCCTGGATTGATTTTTTTGAAGGGTTTTTTGTGTCTCTATCTCCTTTGGTTCTGCTCTGATCTTAGTTATTTCTTGTCTTCTGCTAGCTTTTGAATTTGTTTGTTCTTGTTTCTCTAGTTCTTTTAATTGTGATGTTAGGGTGTTGAATTTAGCTCTTTCCTGCTTTCTTTTGTGGGCATTTAGTGCTATGAATTTCCCTCTACATACTGCTTTCAATGTGTCTCAGAGATTCTGGTATGTTGTATCTTTGTTTCATTGGTTTCAATCAACATCTTTATTTCTGCCTTCATTTCGTTATTTTAACTGGCAGTCATTCGGGAGCAGGTTGTTCAGTTTCCATGTAGTTGCACGGTTTTGAGTGAGTTTCTTAATCCTGAGTTCTAATTTGATTGCACTGTGGTCTGAGAGACTGTTATGATTTCTGTTCTTTTGCATTTGCTGAGAGTGTTTTACTTCCAATTATGTGGTCAATTTTAGAATAAGTGCAATGAGGTGCTGAGAGTTCTGGCCATTACACTAATAAGCAGCATTTCATATTAAAGAAACGTGGACTGAGGTGATGTATGCCTGTAATTTTGGGAGGCCAAAGCTGCATTGCTTGAGGCAGAGTTTGAGACCAGCCTGAACAACACAGTGAGACCCTGTCTCTACAGAAATTTTAAAAATTAGCCAGGCGTGGTGGGTTGTGCCTGTAGTCCCATCTACTTGAGAGGCTGAGGCAAGACGATTGCCTGAGCTCAGGAGGTCAAGGCTGCAGTGAGTGAGCTGTGACTGCACCACTGCATTCCAGCTTGGGAGACAGAGGAAGACTCTTTGTCTCTAAAAAAGAAGAATAGGGTGGGGCATAGTGGCTCACGCCTGTAATCCCAACACTTTGGGAGGCCAAGGTAGGCAGATCAACTGAGTTCAGGAGTTTGAGACCAGCCTGTCCAATGGCACAACCCCGTCTCTACTAAATACAAAAATTAGCTGGGCGTGGTGGTGCACGCCTGTAATTCCAGCTACTCGGGAGGCTGAGGCAGGAGAATCGCTTGAACCCAGGAGATGGAGCTTGCAGTGAGCCGAGATTGCACTACTGCACTCCAGCCTGGGCAACAGGGTGAGACTGTCTCAAAAAATAAAAATAAAATTAAAATAATTTTACAAAAAACATGTATGGATATTCTTACCTTTATCTCTCTGTACAAAGACTGAACTTCAGTGGATAATTCCACAGTCTGCTCCTCCAGTTGCTGACGACGTTGCAAATTAGTGGATATCTGAAGTTTCTCAGATTTTAGCTCATTTGTTATACTTTTTAGATGTTGAATCTGTTCCTGCTGGTCCTGTATAAGCTTACGATTCAATTCAATCTTACTAGAAACTACACAAGAACATATTAACACAGTAATTAATGTAAGGGTATAGAAAATACTATTTGTATCATTCTTCCCATTTTTATTAGTCTATGGAATCCACAAATGCTGAGTTTCTGTGGGCCCCACCCACTGCAACAAACATATAACGAGAACCCTGCTAGCTCCCAAATCAGCTTGATGTCCCCTGCTGACCACTCACAGGGAAAGCTCACAGGGCAGGTATGACTGAGAAAGAATATAGCTCATGGCCAGGCGCACTGGCTCATGCTTGTAATCCCAGCACTTTGGGAGGCCGAGGCGGGTGAATCCCGAGGTCAGGAGTTTGAGACCAGCCTGACAAACACAGTGAAACCCCGCCTCTACTAAAAAATACAAAAATTAGCTGGGCGTGGTGACGAGTGCCTGTAATCCCAGCTACTCAGGAGGGTGAGGCAGGAGAATCACTTGAACCTGGGAGGCGGAGGTTGCAGTGAGCTGAGATTGCACCACTGCACTCCAGCCTAGGCAACAAGAGCAAAATTCCATCTTAAAAAAAAAAAAGAAAAAGAATACGGCTTATTTGACACTCTCCTACTATTCAAAATCTGTTGTGCAAAGTAAGAGAACAAAGAGAAGTGATGCTTTTCAGAAAAAAAGAGCGAATATACTGTGGACTGGAAGGAACTTCCTTGTCTATGTAACAGGTATAAAATTGAGTATAAAAGGCATGTGCTGGCAATGTTGAAGTCTCTATGGGTACAGAAGGACACAGACTGTATTACCTGTGTCTAACTTGTGCTGTTTCTCTTGTTTCTCCTGGTTGACTTGTTGGACAGTTCGATCTAAGTCTATTCCTTGTAGCTTAGCTGCTTGTTGTGCAATTTTTCTTTCAACATCTTTAAGTTCCATCTTAAGAATATAACAAAATTATTTCCTTTAATAAACTTACTGCATTATTCAAAATCTTTAAAAATTAATTGCTATTATCATTTTTTAAATCTAAACTTATAAACCATTTCCAGATACAATTTTAGCAAAGTGTAACAGCATAAAAGTGAAATGATGTAAACAAAAGGAAGCTGACAAAAAATGAAAAACAGACAACTGTCTTAATTTTTAAATTTATGAATTAAAAAATTTAAACCCAGGGATGTAAACTAAGCAGTTGCTCCCTGAGGGCATCTGAAATTCAGGATGGGGAATTCTAGACACAACCTGTACCTGAATACTAGCTACTATTTTTAACTCTCACACTTCAAATTCAAGCTACCATGGAGCAAGTTTTATTCTGCCTTAAACTACAATAAACTTACCTGGAACCTCTCCATAATTGTAACATCTGTCAGGCACACTTTAGCACTTTCTTCTTCAGGCATTATTGTACCCAAGAGTGTTTCTTGTTCTTCTATGTCGTTCTTTAGGCGCTGTATGTCTCTATTGACATTCTGCAATTTGTTTCTTAATTCTGGTATTTCCTTCTCCTTCAAATCAATTATGCTTTGCCTAAATAGAAAACACAATTAAAAATAAAGTATCTGATGTTTCTCACAGTTAGACTGAGGTTTTGTGTATTTTTAGGAAGAATACCACAGAAGTGACATTGGGGTATTCTATCAGTGGGTAGAGAATCATGATATCAATATGTCTTATTACTGATGATGTTAATCTTTATTCACTTGGCTTAGGTGGTGTCGGCCAGGTTTCTCCACTGTAAAGTTACTGTTTTGGTCTTTGTAATTAATAAGTATCTTAGGAGAGAAATGTTGAGACTACGTAAATATCTTGCTTCTCCTCAACTTTCTGCCTACTGATTTTAGTATCCACTGACAGATCTTCCTTGCAATAATTATTACTGTGGTGTTTGTCAAACTGAGAAATAGTCTACTAATGAACTGGTCATATTCACCAAAAGTGTTAAGGTCATGAAAGATAAAGACAGACTGTTACAGACTGCAGGAGCCTAAGGAGAAATAACAACTAGATGCTATGTGGGATCCTGCATGGAACCCTGAAACACAAAAGGCATTGATGGAAAAACTGCTAAATTCGATGTAGTCTGTAATTTAGTTAGTAGCATTATACCAATGTTAATCCTGGTTTTGATAACTGTATTATAACAGAGTACATAAATAGTTAATATCAGGAGAAGCTGGGTGAGGGATATATGTGAATAATTTGTATTGTTTTTATAATTTTTCTGTAAACCTAAAATTATTTCAAAATAACAACTTTTTAAATTACAGGAATAAAAGGAAGGAAACCAGCCATTAAGTCAAATGCTACATGGGTTTAAGGTACAAAATGTCAACCGATTTTACTGGTACTCATTACTCTAGCTAATGAACTACTGCCTCCATGGCAGGTACTGACAACTATTTTTGCTGATGCCTCTGAAACAATAACACATATTTAATCTTTTAAAAAAATTTACTTCAGAAATATTCCAAATTCTTATTTAAAATTATATGGAATTAGTATGACAAAGCAGTATGATAAATTAAACTGGTCTCTAATGGGAGTCTTATTATAAACTAAAAGAATAACCAGAAACTCAAGTGGCTACTACTTAATGATTTTTTAAAAATGCAAACTATGATCAAGAAATGCCAACCTGACCTGTGGCAACAGACTTATAGTTTTTTTTAAATTTTTTAATTTTTAATTTATTTATTTACTTTTTATGCTTTAAGTTCTGGGGTACATGTGTAGAACGTGCAGGTTTGTTACATAGGTATACACGTGCTATGGTGGTTTGCTGCACCTATCAACCCATCATTTACATTAGGTATTTCTCCTAATGCTATCCTTCCCCTAGTCCCCCACCAGCTGACAGGCCCCAGTGTGTGATGTTCCCCTCCCTGTGTCCATGTGCTCTCATTGTTCAGCTCCCACTTATGAGTAAGAATATGTGGTGTTTGGTTTTCTGCTCTCCTGTGTTAGTTTGCTGAGAATGATGGTTTCCAGCTTCATCCATGTCCCTGCAAAGGACATGAACTCATCCTTTTATATGGCTGCATAGTTACTCCATGGTGTATATGTGCCACATTTTCTTTATCCAGTCTATCACTGATGGGCATTTGCGTTGGTTCCAAGTCTTTGCTATTGTGAGTAGTGCCGCAGTAAACACGTGTGCATGTCAGACCTATAGTTTTTTATACCACAGAAATAGGAGGTATTCTTATTCCATATGAGTATAACAAATATGAAGGCATGGAGATTATGAATAATTCCATGCCAATGTTACCTCTTGAACACTGTTGTCACAGATCAGTAGTTGGCCTTAAATTATGTGCCCAATATCTAAAAAGTAACACAGCTATGATAGCCTAATAATGATTGCCAAGTATTTATTAAACTGGGGACATCTCTGTGAAGAACTATAGGTATACATACAGTTTTAACCCTATTTTTACATTTTCATACACACACACAAAATCTTTCATCAGTATGGTCCAGGTTTTGGTGCACTCTTTTTTGATGATTACCTAAGATGTTAAAAGAAGTGTTCTGGCTGGGTGTGGTGGCTCACGCCTGTAATACCAGCACTTTGGGAGGCTGAGGCTGGTGGGATCACCTGCGGTCAGGAGTTCAAGACCAGCCTGGCCAACATGGTGAAACCCCATCTCCACTAAAAATACAAAAAATTAGCAGGGTGTGGTGAAGGGTGCCTATAATCCCAGCTACTCGGGAAGCTGAGGCTAAAGAACTGCTTGAACCCAGGAGGCGGAGTTCAAGTGAGCCGAGATTTGTGCCACTGCACTCCAGCCTGGGCAGTAAGAATGAAACTCTGTCTCAAAAGAAGTGTTCTAAGAAAAAGCAGAGAATCTTCCCTGAAGAATGCACTAGAGAGATCTATTAGGGTTCTCTGGGTTTGTTTTTCATTTTTATGACATTTTATTTTTTATATTCAAGAGTTAATTTTTCTCATGGTTCACAAGGTTTTAAAAAACATTTTCAACAGATAAATCATAATTGTAAACATTTATGGGGTACAATGTGATGTTCTATGTACACAATGTACAATGATTAAAGGTAATTTAGCATATCCATTACCTTGCCTATCATTTTTTATAGACAGATATTTGAAATTTACTCTTTGGATTTTTGTTTTCTCAGAAACTCAATTCACCTATTTTTGGACAGCATTCCTTTTCTAAGGGGATTGTGTGTAAAAAGGCCCACACAGATATGGTACTGAAAAAAGCCTGTGGGAGAAATGGGGGGGAAATACCAATTGAGTTTGTATTCAAATGAGGTGCTATAATAAATGAATCTGAGTCAGTACTATACAAAATGATAAACAGGTATATTTTCAGCTGAGTTCTCAGTCATGATGTTAGTTTTACATTAGGTACTGGTGAATCTGAGGCTTTAAATGAAGTATTTCCCACAAAGAAGCAAGATATAACTCCCTACTACTACTCTGAGCTCATCTTCCACAACTCTTCCCTTTGGCCTTCCGGTCAAATATGTCTCAGAGATTTTGTACTGCCTGGAATATTATTCTGGACAACTGCATGGCTGGCTCCCTCACTTCTCTCAAGTTTCCACTCCAATGCCACCTTCATCAAGTCCCCCCCACCACCCTTCAGCTACTCCCTATTCCCTTATCTTGCTGTATTTTTCTCGATGCCCCTGATCATCCCCCGGTGTATTATATATTCACTTATTTGTCATCCATCTCCTCCCCACTGGAATATAAACTCCATGAGGGCAGGGACTTTGTCCATTTTGTTTACTGCTGTATTACCTGCACTCCAGTAGACTGCCTATCTTGGCTGCACGAATAAACAGTTCTCATGATAGTGTTGGCATCAAGGGCATATTCTAAAGGTGAAAAGGCAAATGGCACACAGATAAATTTAATCTTGTTACTTTACTCCTCTTCACCAATAATCTTCCACCTAAGTGACTATCATAAATAGACCTCCACAATGTCTCTGAAAGTGACCCCAGGGGATATCTGAAAGTAGTGTCTTAACCACAGGTGGTAGGAAGCTTAATGACCATGTAAGTCAATCTCCTCATTTTATGTGGGGGATACTAAGGCCCAAATGAGTTAAGTAACATCCTTAAGGTCACCCAGCAGAGTTGGAATTTGAAATCAACCTGACTGTACCCTTAGGCAATTGCTTTCCTGTATTTCAAAAAACAAAACAAAACAAAACAAAAAGTCCTCTTGGTTGAGCATGGTAGCTCATGCCTGTAATCCTAGCACTTTGGGAGGCTGAGGTAGGAGGACTGCTTGAGCCTAGGAGTTCCAGGCTTCAGTGAGCTATAATCAGTTACACCACTACCCTCCAGCCTGGGCGACAGGAATAAGACCCTATCAATCAATCAAGTCCTCTTAATTCATTATTGACCTTCCATTTGTGGATTTATTTAAACTTTAAAAAAACATGTTTTATAATGTTATTTCCTACTATTGGGAAGAAGACTTCCTCTCTCATTTGTCCCAAACTCATCCTTCTCCAGTTTTCCAGAATGGCCCACTGACATTCTGTTAAGAGCTTGCTAAACAAACGGGGGTTCATCATTTCCCTGCTCTTCAGGTTTTCAAGTTTTGGTTCCTTTATGAAAATGGTTTCCCCACACACGTGTCCTCACTTAGCAGCCCTGCCAGCATCTTGGTCCATTTTTAGTGCTTCCTCTAGGCTTTTTCTAGCTTCAGGTTCTCTTAAAATGTGTGGTAACCAGACATTTAACTGGCTAAACTAGCCAGGTAGATAACCTAGCTGAGCCCAGTCATCCCATGAAACCATGAAAAACTAATCACTGTGAGACAGTTCTTTTTTTTTTTTTTGAGACAGAGTCTCGCTCTGTCACCCAGGCTGGAGTGCACTGGCTAGATCTCAGCTCACTGCACGCTCCGCCTCCCAGGTTTATGCCATTCTCCTGCCTCAGCCTCCAGAGTAGCTGGGACTACAGGCGCCCGCCACCTCACCCGGCTAGTTTTTTGTATTTTTTAGTAGAGACGGGGTTTCACCGTGTTAGCCAGGATGGTCTCGATCTCCTGACCTCGTGATCCGCCCGTCTCAGCCTTCCAAAGTGCTGGGATTACAGGCTTGGGCCACTGCGCCCGGCCTTGTGAGACAGTTTTGAAGGGTGTTGTTACACAGCAATAAATAACGGGAATAGACACTACAGTTCTCATTCATTCAACAAATGGTTATCAAAGTTACAATATAGAATATACAAATGTGTGGTTGCCTAGTCTCTAGGTAACCAGAATGGCACATAGATGCTACTGCAGATATAGGGTTATGCAGATTGAAGTCAGTCACAAGTACTTTGATACTCTTTCCATCAAGAGACACAGTATCCTCCCTCACTGAATCCTGGGAGTCTCTGTGACCACTCTGACCAATAGAAAATGAAGTGTCACTGTGCCAGTTTCTCAGTCTAGGCCTTAAAGGACTTGCAGCTTCCACTTCCTGTTCATGGAATACTTACTCTTGGGATAGTCTGTTTAGGAACCCGGTCACTATGCTTCCAAAAGCCCAAGACACATGCAGAGGCCATGTGAAGACATCCTGTTTTGAGAGCCCCAGCTGAGCTGCCAAACAACAGTCAGCATCACTGTCAGTCACGTGAGCCATCAAGAACATCCAGCTCGGTTACACTTTGAGATGACTGCAGCCAACATCTGACTACAACCATAAGACCTCAAGTGAGAGCCACCTAGCTGAGCCCAGTCATAGCACAGAACCATGAGAAATTAATTATTGTGAGATAGATTTGAGGTTTGTTACACAGCAATAAATAATTGGAACAGACATTACAGTTCTCATTCATTCAGCAAACAGTTATCAAAGCTGCAATATACACGAACTGTGGAGATACAACAATAAGTAAGACATGCACTTTACTCTTAGAGGGGAAACTGTGGCCCAGCACGGTGGCTCACTCCTGTAATCCCAGCACTTTGGGAGGCTGAGACAGGTGATTGCCTGAGGTCAGGAGGTTGAGACCAGTCTGGCCAACATGGTGAAACCCTGTCTCTACTAAAAATACAAAAAAATTAGCGGAGTGTGGTGACGTACGCCTGTAATCCCAGCTACTTGGGAGGCTGAGGCAGGGGAATTGCTTGAACCAGGGAGGTGGAGGTTGCAGCGAGCCAAGATTGCATCACTGCACTCCAGCCTGGGCGATGACAGCTATAATACGATGTTAATTTCTGCCATTTATTGTATAACTGTCTAACACAGAACTAAGCTCACATTTTTCCTACATGTACTTTCTACCAATTTCAAATTTTATCCATTTGATCTTTTTTTTTCAATATACTATCTTATTCCTCTCCTTCCTTTTTATTCTCAAACTACTGCTTCTGTCTCCTCATCTCTGTGGCCCCAATAATCTCGTTTTCACCCTTGATGCTTGTATTTGTTATCTCTTGTTGCATAACAAAGTATCCCAAAACTTAGCAGCTTAAAATAACAGCACTTATTATTTCTCAGAGATACCAGGATCAGGAGATAACGCTTCTCACTCAGGGTCTCGCATGAAGTTGCAATCAAGCTGTAAGCCAGGACTGCAGTCATCTTAAGGCTTGACTGCTACAAAGTCTATTTCCAAACTCACTTGCTCAAAGGCCTCAGGTCCTCACCACAAGGGCCTCTCCAGAGGGCTGCTTGCAACATGGCAGCTAGCTTCCCTCAGACAAGAGACAGAAGGGGACAAAGTGGGTGAGAGAGGGGAAGAAGAGGGGGAGAGTGAGCAAGTTCACACGAGTGAGGGTACGTGCACATGCGAGCACAGAAGAAGCCATAGTACCTTAAATAACCTAATGTTGGAAAGGCCATACTATCACTTCTGCCTGTTTTATCAGTTACACAGACCAATCCTGCAACAGCATGAGAGGGGACTATACGAGGGTATGAATACTAAGAGGCCGAGATTACTAGGGACCATCCTAGAAGTTGGCTGCCGCGAACCACATCTTCTTAGGCCTTTCTTTCTCCTTTTCCTGAAACTCCTCCTTGGTTTTCCAGGGCAATCACTTTCACTCTCCTGGATTTTCTGCTTCCTAAGCTTTTCTCAGCCTGTTTCAGTCAATATACTGATATTAGATTAATTTTCCTAAAATACATCTTTCATTAAATCCCTTAGGTTGGCTCCTCCTCATCACCTATCAGAAAGAGTTATAACTAGGCCTGAATATAATGTAGCCCTATCTCCCCAGTGTACAAGATTCAATCCCTATAAATAATTGCCCAAACTCCAGATAACATTTCTACTGCAGCATAGGTCATACTCCTTTTCCCTTTGCACCATGTTCTGACTTCCATCTCCTCTCGGTTGAGCTGAACGAACTTCTCCAGGCCTTATATTTCTCTCCCTGCCTCATTCTCAAAATATTTTTCTCATTTTGTATCCACTGACTCCTCCCTTCTTAACTAACACATTTGTTTGAATCATTTTGTTAAGCACTTTATTAAGCCTAGTTTTCTAAACGCTGAATTCTGAGAGCCTGTCTTCTTAATCAGACCATTAGCTCCTGGAGGGTCATGTCTTAGGTCTCTGGGACCAGCCTTGTTCTCTATGTTCTGGGAGACACTAAGGCAATCATCACATATTTCCTAACTTGATTTTTATTTGTAAACAGAACATAACATGAATTTCTTGTACAAGTGAGGGAAAATATAAACAACTGAAAATCTTTTTGAAAGTGGAAAAGACATTAAAAACATAGTTTAAAATCTGTCTTCTGGGAGAACTTTTCAGTACTTAAATTCTTTTGCTGGGTTCATAAAGTGGCAAGTCGACAGTCCTAAATCTGTGAAAATCTATGCCCACAAGCTAAGTCTTGGGAATTAAACACACATACAAAAGAACGTAGACTATGTCTACCTCACATTTTAAGAAATAAGCTTACCGGCCATGCACGGTGCTCACACCTGTGATCCCAGGGAGGCTGAGGTGGGCCAATCCCTTGAGGTCAGGAGTTCGAGATCAGCCTGGCCAACATGGTGAAACTCCATCTTTACTAAAAATTACAAAAATTAGCTGGGCATGGTGGTGCATGTCTGTAATCCCAGCTACTGAGGAGGCTGAGGCATGGGAATCGCTTCTGGGAGGTGGAGGTTGCAATGAGCCAAGATCGTGCCCTCCAGCTTAGGTGACAGAGAGAGACTCTGTCTCAGGAAAAATAAAAGAAAGGAAATAAGCTTACCTTTAAACAAAATAATTGACTCTTCTTATCACAGAAGTGACCTAAGACAGGGCATACTAGCTCAGAGTTCTTACTGAGTAACTACCATCTGCCCAGGCATGAGACAGGTACCTTTTATAATGTGCTGCTACATGTACAGTTAAGGTAAATCCCTATTCTTACCTCATGGGCACAAGTCCCAGCATTTCATCACGCCGCTTTTCCTTTTTTTTTAGCTCTGATTCTGTTGACTTGAGTTTATCTGGAGCAAGTCGCAGTTTAGACTGCAAATCACTGATGACTTCTTGTAATTCAGCCTCTGTCTGAAAAACTCTCTGACAAACGGGGCAACATGACTGGTTTTCATCTGTTAGCTGAGTAATGAACTGGGAGTAAACTGCTGTGGCTCCAGCCAGCATGGCTATTTTAAGAAAATAAGTTATATCACCAATGAGAAAAAACATAAAATACAGTATTGTCAATATGGTTTCATCTTTTTCTATAAATATATTATTCTTACTTTATAAATATATTATAAAAGAAATAAAAATTCTGATACTTAAAATTCCAATATTCTCTTCCAAAGAGCATGATACATTCAGATTTGTATAAATATTTTTTGGTAACACATTATAAGTATAACAAAATGTCTACTGAGAGCTTTCTCTGTGCCAGGCACTGTTCTAAGGGTTTTACAACTACAATCTCATTCACTCCTCAGTACCCCAGGTGGTAGCTGTGTCCTCATTTTACAGACGATGAAACACAGGAAGGTTTCAGTAACTTGCCTAAAGTCACACAGTGAGTAAGTTGTAGAGCCAGGACTGAAATCCAAGCCATTAGGCTCCATAACCAGGTTTTTAAATTCCCCATCCTTAACAGTTACCTGTGAATGAAAATTCAAAGGTGTCAGAGTATCCTGATAACATAAAGTAGGTAAACTTACCTCGCTGTTTTGATGATTTTTCAATTTCCTCTTTAAGCCTGTCTAAATCACTTTCAAAATCCTGGCTACCACAAACATCAAACAGCTTGTCTTCGTAACTGGACAACTGCTCTTCCTTTCTTTTTAGTTCATTATTTATATGATTTTTATTCTGCTCAGCTGAAGCTAGTTCTTTGCTAAAATAAGAACAAATAGGATTTTCATTTTAAAATAGGAGAAATGAGTTTGAAAGTTTGAGTAGGCAAAAACAAGATAAATTTCTGCCAACAAATCATGACCAAATACTTTTTTTTAGAAGTTGAGGGACAAGTCCACTTCTGTCTTAACTCTCCCCCTATGACAATGACTCACCTGCCAGTCCTGCTCATGGGCCTGCTCCCAGAAAAACGTACACAGCTTCTGCCTGGTTTCTGGGAGTTCATGGCCTTTGATCCCAGGTTAAGCCCCAGCAAGATGCTTGCTGGGACTACTGGACAGAAAGAAGACAGGAGAACACCCCCGTAATTCTCTTTAGTCCTTTCACAAATACTACTTCCTTACTCTCCTGTAAATACTGTTTCTTTATATTCTCTCCCTCCTTGTTGCTGTCACCCACTTGCCTCCAGAACAGTCATTCCCTCTCGTTAATCAAATATTTTACTTACTAGCACAATTTATCTCCACTTTTAGATCTTAAATATCATCCTAGCCAACCTCAATACTTACATATAACATGGTTTTTCAATTTGCAGGTTTCGATGCACTAGCTACCATGTAGTCAATTTAATGTATTGTATTCAGCATATTTTTAAAAAATGAAATAGAAGCGATGGTAATATATTGGAGTAGGCTGTATGTATATATACTACTTTGAGAAATTGGTTTCAGATAAATGTGTGTTACTGCACACATGCTTCTTCATCATGACTACCCATCGTGAGTCACAGTAAAATTTTGGAAAAAAGTAACTAATACAGATGATATTTTCATTATCCTAGACTCCATTGAGCACTTCTCATCAAGATCACCAGTGACCTAAGTGCCAAGTACAGTCTTCATCTTACTCTACCTCTAGGTAGCACCAAACACTGTTGACTTTCTCCTTGAAGACTGTTTTCTCAAGGCACCCAGACACCACGGCTATCTGGCTCTCACTCTGGTTCCTTGGGCACATCCCAGTTTCCTTCACTTGATCCTTTTCCTTGGCCTGCTAACATTTTAAATGTTTGTGCTTCCCGGGAATCTAATTGTAACCCCTTCTCTTTGCGTAACTCTCTCAAGGTGACACACTAATGACTTCAAGTATCCCTTGCATAGCAACAACTCCCAGTCTCCTGAATTTCAAACTCCAATACTGTATTCCCTCACAGACACTTCCACAAGACACAGAGATTAAACATCACCAAAACCAAGTCCTCTACTTTCCTCAAAAATCTGTGTGGAATTTTTGACCCGCTTATCCAACCACCATCCAAGGTAACATCTGAGAAATATGATCACTTTTTATAATGGATTTCTCACAGAAATGAAAATAGAATTTTTAAATTTTAATCTTCACAGATCTACAAATTTTCAAAGGACAAGACGTCTAAATTACTACCCATTACCATTTTACTTAATTTGTAAAATATGAGGGGTCTTCAAAATGTTCATGGAAAATGTGTATTATAAAAAAACTATGCATGAAGTTCAAAATGTTTTGCACTGAAATAAACTCACACTAACTTGTTATAACATGTCTGAATAGGATCTAGTTTAAGGCACTAACATGGTTAAGACATCAGTTTGAAAAGAGCCCCAATTAGAGCTAAAACTGAAGCAAGAACAAACATCAAATTTATGGTGAAGTGTGGGTGGAAGAATGGTGAATCACTGATACTTCACAATAAGTTTATGAGGTCAATGCCCCAAATAAATCAGCAGTTTACAAATGGATAACTCAGTTTAAGAAGGGATGAGCCATTATTAAAGATGAAGCCCACAGTGGCAGACTGTTCACATCAATTTGTGAGGAAAAAATTCATCTTCTTCATGCCCTAATTGAAGATCAATGATTAACAGCAGAAACAATAGCCAACACCACAGACACCTCAATTGATTCAGGTTACACAATTCTGACTGAAAAATTAAAGTTGAGTAAATGTTCTACTTGATGGATGCCCAACCACTGCTTCCAGATAAGCTGCAGAGAACAGCAGAGCTTTCAATGGAGAGTCTCAACAAGTAGGATCAAGTTCCTAAAGCATTCTTCAAAGAATTGTAACAGGAGGTGATGGAATGTGGCTTTACCAGTACAATCCTGAAGACAAAGCACAGTGAAAGCAACGGCTACCAAGTAATGGAAGTAGTCCAGTCAAAGCAAAAGCAGACCAGATAAGAGCAAAGGTCATGGCAACAGTTGTTTGGGATGCTCAAGGCATTTTGCTTGCTGACTTTCTGGAGGGCTAAAGAATGGTAACAACTGCTTATTATGAGAGTGTTCTGAGAGAGCTAGCCAAAGCATTAGCAGAAAAATGCCCAGGAAACCTTCACCAGAGTCCTTTTCCAACACAACAAATGTTCCTGCTCATCTCTCTCATCAAACAAGGGCCATTTGCAAGAGTTTCTATGGGAAATCATTAGGCATCCACCTTACAGTCCTGATTTGGCTCCTCCTATCTTCTAGTTTCTTAATCTTAAAAAATCTGTAAAGGGCACCCATTTTTACGCTAATAATGTAAAAAAGACTACATTAACATGGTTAAATTCCCAGGACCCTCAGTTTTTTAGGACTGAACTAAACTGCTGGTATCATTGCTCAGAAGAGTCTTCAACTTGATGGAGCTTATGTTGAGAAATACAGTTTATTTTAAATTTTTATCTTTTAATTCCATTTTTCCATGAACTTTCTGAAGTCTTCTTGTACGCAAGAACTAAAATTGATCAATACAACATACCATTTCAAGACAATAAATTATTTTAAAACAATTAAGTAAGCATGAAATAAGAGATTTCTATTACATCTCCAAATGTTGCAACTTACTTCAATTTGGCAAGTCTGTCCCTGGTCTGATTAATTTCTTTTGATTTACTATGTAGCCAGTCTTCAAGCTGTTTTTTGTTGGGAAAATATCCCAACAGTGATGTTAATTCATCACTGTGCCTAGATTTTATTTTTCTGATTTGTTCATCTTTGTCAGCCTATAGGTAAAAAAAAAAAAATCTTTTAAAAATAAAGTCTATATCTCTACATTATATCAAGAACAAAAATAAATTCTAGATTGACTAAAGTTCTAAGCTTAAAACTATAAAAATATGAAAATAAAATATAAAATTTCTTAAAGTCTTCAAGTGGGAATGGTCTTTCTAAGCCCTAAGAGTGGAGTACCAAGTCAAACAATATAGAATTTTAAAACTTCTGTTATGTTAAAAGCTAACAGTAATGTTCATGTGTGTGTGTGTATATATATATTTCTGTATTAACTTTTTGTAATTAAACAATAACTTTTAAGCTTGAAAGTCTATTATACAGAGTACTAAGCTCACTTAGCCTCTAAAATATAAAGTCAATACCAACTTAATACCTTATAGTCTATGACTTATGAATGCAAGGTAGGCTATTTTAAGTACCAGACAGTAAAATTAGAACAAAAAGAGAAATCATACTTTGTCTTTGGTCAGCATCTCCATCTGGGTACGTGTTGTTGTATGATGGTTTAACTGCTCCATCTCCTGGTCAAGTTTACGCAGGGTCCTGTCTAAGTCTGCTTTTTCATTTTGAAGACTTATTACTTCCATTTTTAAGGTTTCTACATTGCTGTTTTTCTCAGCCTTGCTTAACTCACGTTCCTGGTCAATAATTCATACAAATGCAAAGGTGTTAGATATTTTGTGCAAGAATTAAAATAATGATAAGGTGTATTAGAAATTAACTACTCCTCACAATGTTCCAAATAATATTGTTTGTATCCAACAAGAGAAAAAAACAAGGCACTATATATGCTTTAAGGCAAATCCTATTAAAGTGACCGTACTATGTTATAATGGTAGAGAATTAGTAAATAAACCTAGAAGGGTCAAACAGGAAAGAAAAGTGAGAATTAGTGTACAATTAGCAGACATGTGTCTAAGTATACAGATTAGTGAGTCCTCAGTCAACAATTAAGTATTTATTAAGTCCCCATGTAATTCACTACATTGCCTGGAATGTAGAAACTATAAAAATAGTGTGACGTGCTCCCTGACCAGTATCTCCCCACCCCAACAAGATAACACTGTGAAAAAGTGCTAAATTGACAAAAATGTATGCTACAATGGTAAGTTACGAAGCAAAAATAAATGTTTACATAAATTATCAAGATGGGCTTTAAGAAGTTTGCCATGCTTTAGAATGCTTACTTTGGTGATGGAGATGTGAAGAAAGAGGACAGACTAGAAGCAAGAAAGAAAATTTGGAAATACCTGAAAAGACTGGCTAAGAAAGTTGTTACCACAGAAAAAGTAGTAATACAGCAAAAATCATCTAGAATTACAATGTATGTGACCTACAGGAAAAATACTTGTTTTTTATAAACTTTGGTAAGTGTTCTTTTTTTTTTTTTGAGATGGAGACTCACCCTGTCACCCAGGCTGGAGTGCAGTGGCATGATCTTGGCTCACTGCAACCTCCGCTTCCCAGGTTCAACCGATTCTCTTGTCCCGGCCTCCCAAGTAGCTGGGACTACAGGTGCGCGCCACCACGCCCAGCTAATTTTTGTACTTTTAGTAGAGATGGGGTTTTGCCATGTTGACCAGCCTGGTCTTGAACTCCTGACCTCAGGTGATCTGCCTGCCTTGGCCTCCCAAAGTGCTGGGATTACAGGTGTGAGCCACCGCACTCAGCCTGGTAAGTGTTCTTAACCAAGGTGCTCATAAGAATCACCCAGTTTTGTTGTGTTTTTGAATGTACATTTCTATGCCCCATTCTCAGAGATTTTGATTTGGAAGGTCTGAAGCTTTAAGGTCTGAGTACAGTATCTTTAAAAAGCTCCCTATGTGATTCTAATTTTCAACCTACGAGGTTGTAGAACCAAAGACTCAGAAGATCAAGATACTCAGATGAATTCATTTTACATGAGAATAAGACAAAGTTGATGTTTTTATTAAAATGCCATAATCTCAGGATTAAAAATAGACAAAATACTTCTAAAAGTCTTATATCTTAAAATTATTAGATTATTCAAACAATATCTTACAGCTTTTATGAGCTCCTGGTCCAGTTCAAGAATCCTGTCTGAAGATCCTTCCAACTGCTGTAATTCATACTTCACGTTTTTCAGCTCATTCTGCTTCTTATTTAGGATTTCTGATTTTAACTCAATTATTCTTCCCAGTCCAGTTTTCTTATCTCTTATCTCATCTATCTGTTTTTGTTTCAGAGTCTCTTTTTCTGCAAAGTCATTCTAAATGCGTATATAAAGAATGAACATTAATAATTTACCAAACAATTTAAGAAACAGTTTTTTAATTGCAAAAGGAATATATGTACACTGAAGAAAATACAAAAAAGTACAGTCATGTGTTGTTCAGCAGGGATAAATTCTGAGAAATGCATCATTAGGCAATTTTATCGTTGTGTGAACATCAGAATGTATTTACATAAGCCTACATGGTATAGCTTACTACACACATAGACTATATGGTATAGCCTATTGTTTCTAGGCTACAAACTTATACAGCATATATCTGTACTGAATACTTTGGCAACTGTAACATGATGATAAGTATTTATGTATCTAAACATATCTAAACACAGAAAACATACAGTAAAATACAGTAATACGATTTTATGGGACTACTGTCAAATATGTGGTCCATCACTGACCAAAACATGTGGTTCAAGACTTTATTTTAAAAACTATCAAAACCATTACCCAGAGATAATCATTAACTATGAGCAAATGTTTTCTCTGCAATTAGCTTTTAAAAATTTTTTACTTAAAACCAAATAAAAAATGTAGGTTTACATTTTCTTCATATTTTTATCTTTATACACTTTAGAACATTTGCTTCAATAAAGGTTTCTCTGCCTTGTAGCAGATTTTATGCTAACACTAATAGAAAAATATGCCAAAATAGAGTCCAACCAAAAATTAAAACAATTCAAGTAGAGAATATGACGCAAACAAAATAAGAAACACTATATTTCAAAATACTTGCCATTAGTTGGTTGGCAGTTTTTGCTTCCCCTTCTTGTCTCTCTTTCACAAGTTTGTGAAAATTTTTAATCTGTCTTTCACTGAATGGTCCACGCTCAAAGCCATCCAATTCTAGCTGTGTTGCCAAAGACTGAATTAATGAATCTCTAGCTCGGATATGTTCTTGATGGCGATCTGCTTGTAGCTGTAGACGACCTTTAAAAAAAAAAACAACCTCATAATTTTTATTTTTAAACTGGTGCTTAAAAAGTTGAAATAGCTGTAGATTCACGAGTTATAAAAAATAATGCAGTGTGTTCTCTTGTACATTTTGCCCAGTTTCCCCCAATGATAACATTTTGCAGAACTGCACTATAATATCACAACCAGAATACTGACATTGATATAATTCATCAATCTTATTCAAAAGTCCCCAATTTTATTTGTACCCCTGTGCATGTGTATGTGTGTTTATTAAGTTCTAAATAATTTTATCACCTGAGTAGGTTCATATATCCACTATGGCAGTCAAGGTACTGAACAGTTCCAACACTACCAGAACCCTCTTTTTGTTCTAATCATAACCATACCTATCTCCCTCCTGTCCCTTCTCTTACCTAGTATCCCTGGCAACTACTAATTTCTCCACCATTTCTAAAATTTTGACATTACAAAAATGTTATATAAATGGAAACATACTGTGTATAGCCTTTTAAGATTGGCTTTTCACTCAGCATAAGTCCTTGGAGATTCTTCATTCATACAGAAAATGTGTAATATCATAGTAAGGAAAAACAACCAAATGAGCATTTTGTCCTACCCTGTTCAACAAGCAGTTCTGATTTTTCTTGATTGAGAAGCCTAGATTCTTTATTTAATTTTTCCAGTTCACGATGACAGTCTACCAATTTCCTTTCTTTCTCCCTTACTGTTCTCTGGTGATTGTGATATAAATCATTTAGTTGCTCATCAGTCCCTTGAAAAACCTGTGTAACACCAAAATAAAAAGCTTTAATGTACAAACGTAAGAAAATATGATCACTTTGAGGTGCCAAACAGAAACCAAACTTTATTCAATATCCTTCATTTCAACATATACATAGAAGTAACCAGATCTGTATTTTTTTCCAATGTGGATGGCAAAATGGATTCAAATAAAGTTCATTACAATAATCCTAAAATTTTGAAGCAGAACAAAATTCTACCACCACAAACCTTTTCCATTTTCTCTTCGAGTTCACTATTATCTTTCTCCATTTGCTTCTTTCGGCTATCCAAGGCTTTAATTTCATTGTCAAGTTTCATTATTTTAGAGAGATTATGTTCAATTTCTTTTAGACGATTCTGAAAATAAAGAAACACCACATAAATAAAACTCACTATAGCTTACATGGCTGATAGATGAAGACAAATAAGATAATCCAGGTCCAGGCATTTAGTAAAAGTGATCTAATTTAATGCTAACAATAACATTGTAGAGCGGGCCTAGAGAAACTGAAGTTCAGAGACATTAAGTAACTTAGCCCAAGTCCTTATAGCTAGTAGAGAGAAGTAGGAATTCAATTCCACTTCTAACTCCGAACACCATACCCTGTCCTCAACCTCCCACAAAAGTCATTCATTCACTGGGCAGTTAGAGTTACAATACATAAAGCAGCACATTTTAAGAACTTAATCCTTAAAAGGCTAATTATTTAATGTATTTTTGTTTTTAAGTCAGGACTACTGAGAGGGCTAGAAATTCATGGTGAGTTACCAATGCATTCTGAGCCTGTAGGCAAATTTACATGAAGAGTATACTTTAATCCAAAGCTTGCTCAACCACAGAGGACTCTGAGCAAGTAAAGTACAACAAACGAGCCCAGTGGCCTGCTCTGAAGCTCGCTTCCAGAGACAGCTGGCTGCCCCATCTTCTAGGAATGAATACTGGGATCTGGTTCAGGGCATTCTCTTATTGGATGATGCTGGGGATATTCTTCTAGCGTTTGCCTCTATGATTCCAAAACTGACCAACTCTTCTTCTAACACATTTTTAGAACCTACTTGTATTATTATTATTATTTTAAATGCAGAGACAAGGTCTTGCTATGTGGCCCTGGCTGGGATGGCTATTGACAGGTGCAATAACAGTGCAATACAATTTGAACTCCTGGGCTCAAGTGCTCCTCCCACCTCAGCCTCCAAGTAACTGGGACTATAAGTATGCACCACCATGCCCACCAGGACCTAATTTTAAACTAACATATTAAGTTACTGGAATGCTTAGACAGCAATTGCAAACCTTCATAATTGTACCAAAATGCATCCTTAACTTTAACATAATTTATTAAAATTATACTAATAGCATACCTTGTGATTTGCATATGAATGCAAACAGCCTAAAATCAGAAACTTTGTTTACTTTGTTCCCTAATGTATCCCCAGAACATGCAATAGGTGTTCAATGTTAGCTAAATGAAAGAGAGATTTGAAAAAAATAACTTTACCAAGAACAACAGTCACAGGTATCACTGATTGAATGTCTGCTATGTTCCAGGCATTGTACTAGGTGCTGCTATAAATTCTCTCTAATCCTCACAAAAGCATATACTAAGCAGGAGACTAAAAGGACTTAACTGACTTGTACAAAAATGTATTATAAACTATAAAACATTGAAGAACATTTTTGTGGCACTGGGTCAGACAAAGACTTCCCCTAAATATGAAACAAAAAGCATAAACCATAAGTGAAAACAGTTGACAAACTGTGCCTCATCAAAATTTAAAACTCTTGTCCTCTGAAAAGCAGTTAAGAAATATCTGCAAAACCAATATCTGATAAAGGGCTGGTATCCAGAACATATTTAGAACTCTCTGCCCAGCACTGTAGCTCACACCTGTAATCTCAGCACTTTGGGAGACTGAGGCAGGCCGATCGCTTGAGCCCAGAAGTTTGAGACCAGTCTGGGTAACCTGGTGAGATCTCGCCTCTACAAAAAATTAAAAAACATTAGCTGGATGTGGTGGTGTGTGCCTGTAGTCCCAGCTACTCAGGAGGCTGAGGTGGAAGGATCACTTGAGCCAGGGAGTCAGAGGTTGCAGTGAGCCAAGATCACACCACTGCACTCTGGCCTGGGTGAGAGAGAGAGACCTTGTCTCAAAAAAAAAAAAGAACTCTCACAGCTCAATAATAAAATGACCAATAAATAAATAAAATTGAAAACCAGGCAAAAGATTTTTACATTTTACTAACAAAGATATTCAGATGGCAAATAAATATATGAAAAGATGCTCAAAATCAATAATCAACTGACTAACTGATCAACTAGGAAAACACAAATTAAAAAATATAAAGAAATACAACCTCACAATGAGATACTACCACACACCTACTATTATGGCTAAAATGAAAAAGATTGACAGTACTAAGTGTGGATGAGAATGCAGAGCAATTACATTCTCATAGATTATTGGTAAATTGTTGGTAGGACTACAAAGTGGTACCAGATGGTACAGCTAAAGTATACATTAAACATACACTTACCATACAACCAAGCAACCCCATTCCTAAAGTTATCCAAAGATCTGTATACAAAAGTTTATAGCAGTTTTATCTGTAACAGCCCAAAGCTGAAAACAACTTAATGTCCATCAGCCATGGAATGGATGAGGAAAAAAATTATAATATATGCATACAATGGAAGGAATGCTCCTCAGCAATAAAAAGGAATGAACTGCCGGGGCGCAGTGGCTCACGCCTGTAATCCCAGAACTTTGGGAGGCTGAAGTGGGCAGATCACCTGAGGTTGGGAGTTCGAGACCAGCCTGACCAACATAGAGAAACTCTGTCTCTACTAAAAATACAAAAAAAAAATTAGCTGGGTGTGGTGGCGCATGCCTGTAATCCCAGCTACTCGAGAGGCTGAGGTAGGTGAATTGCCTGAACCTGGGAGGCGGAGGTTGTGGTGAGCCAAGATCACACCATTGCACTGTAGCCTGGGCAACAAGAGTGAAACTCCATCTCAAAAAAAGAATGAATTACTCACACATGCAGCAACACAGATAAATCCCAGACACAAAAGTCTGCATACTCTATGATTCTATGTATGTGCCACTCTTTGGAAAAGGCAAAACTATAATGACAGAAAACAAATTAGTGGCTATTAAGGATGGGAGCAGGGGGAGAAGACTGACTGCAAGGACTTTGAGAGAACTTTTTGGGGAGACTGAAATATTCTACATCTTCATTGTAGTGCTGGTTATGCTACCATATGCATATGTCTTAACTCATAGAATTTACATTCTAAAAAGTGTGGGTTTTACCATATATATATTACACCTTAATAAACTTGACTTAAAAAGAAAAAACAAGTATAAACTTAGGAATCAAAGGACTCAAATCCTACCTTTAACCCTTATTTCCACCGTGAACACCTGTGCCTCAGTTTTCTTGCCAATACAACCTCACAGAGTTACTATGGGGTTTACATCATACATTGTAAAGCACTTGGATTAGTGTTAGGCATTAAACAGTGAATGAGACCATTTGCACTACTTGTGAAAAAACTTCTGTACTCAGAAAATACCTTTTGAGTAGAGTCTGACAAAGATAACTGGATGGATACTTAAAAGCAATGAATATTAACAGCTCCGTTATGATAATCTACAAAGTGCTCAGTTTCTTTCCATCAGTGTTTTCACCGCCTCTTGATAGCACAAACATTATGACAATCATCTGGGCTTGGATCTTTCATGACATCTCTACCTGCTTCATTCCTTAAATCCAGCCAGTCACCAGATCCCCTGAATTCCTTCTTTGACATCTGTGTTTTGGTTCTAATCTCAGAGCACAAAACATAGGTTCCATCCCCAGAGTACACACCTAGTAAAAGGAGCTAGGACAAGCAGGCAGACGACAACAACAAAAACAGCCAAGTGTTTAAAGCTTAGGTGCCAGTGTGAAATGAGTTTAAAAAAATAGAGCAGCTGGGCTATCAAGTATAGAAGGACCATGAACTTGTGTATGGAAAAAAAAACAATTAGAAACGTATTCCTCTAGCAATTCCCATTTAAGGCAAGAAAGGAAAACAGATCTAAGTAGGGCAAAAAAAGAGGACAGGATATGGTGGGATGGTAATAAAGTAGTTTATAAGAGAGTGAGAGTTCCTGAAGATGAAGGGAATCAGTAAAAATGGGAAAGGATGCATTCTAGTGCATGGTTGAAAGGAAGTAGTCTTTTCTGGGAAGGTGATTTGACCCAAACTTTAATTGGGTTCTATGAAGGGAAGAACCTTCACATGTCAGAGCTAAAAAAGGACTCTGGAAGTCATTTACTTAATAAACATTTACTGAACCACCTGCTACGTGCCAGGCACTAGGCTAGGCTCTGAGGAAACAGAGAAGAGTATGAAACCCTTGGAGAATTACTCACAATTAAACACAAACAAGTACATAAATACCTCAACCTCTGCTACGACCTTGGTTAGAATCTTGGCACCACTCACTAAATCCTAGGTATTATCATTTAGCCCTACCTTGACATCATTTCCAATAAAAATGCTTCATTTCAACAATATGGATTTCCTTGACAGTGTTCAAAGACAGCTTGGATTTTACTGTCTCTATGTCTCCAATGACCTACTCATTTATGATCAAAAAAGTCATGGCCAAATTTAGTCCTATGAAATCCTCTCTGGCTACCTCAGACAGAAATTCTCTTTCTTTATCCTCAGAGCTCCTACAGGTCTTGTTTTTTTTCTGCTTTACCGTTACACACGCTTGTCATCTCTCCAACCAAGATGCTCCTCAAGAAAATAAAATGTGGAGTGGGGCAAGGGGGAAAGAAGAAAAAAAAAGGAAATCTTTTCCAGTATCTTGGTAATTACCACGGTGTTCACAGAGAGCTACCAGGACAACTCATCCTAAAATATAACATACTCTTCCACTCTTCTGTCTATTGAACTAAGTCTGAAATCCATTAGCTTTCTATAATCTGATCCCGATTCATATTGATCATTTACTCCTTTTATATTGATTTACTTAACCCAGACTTTTCCTCTCACAATTCTGTTCTGATTAAGCTTGTACAGGTAAATATACACATACATACAAGTGAATGTTTGTATACACATATGTATAGTATACATGCAGTTAAAAAAAGCTACAGGTAGAATATACTCTGGAAGTTCAGAGATGAGGAATGGAAGACTATCTTTTACTTTTCACCTAATATCCTTTTATAACTTTTTCACTGGGGGCACATATTACTTTTAAAAGAAAAGTCAAAATAAATACGAACATTTCCGGGCACAGTGGCTCATGCCTGTAATTCCAGCACTTTGGGAGGCTGAGGCGGGCAGATCACTTGAGGTCGGGAGTTCGAGACCAGCCTGACCAAAAATCAAGAAAAAAAAAATCAAGAGCATGGGTAAAAAGGGTCTGGGTAAATGGTCTGGAACAGACGTAGCTGGTTGAGCGAAGGATAAAAG